ACAGGTCTCACTAAAAAATCTATTAGAAAGCTGCAGCTGATTAAGAACGCCGCTGCTCGAGTCCTCACTAACACTAAGAAAGTGGATCACATCACTCCTGTTCTGAAGTCCTTACACTGGCTTCCTGTGTGTCAAATAATAGATTTTAAAATAATGGTGTCTTTACAGGTCTCACTAAAAAATCTATTAGAAAGCTGCAGCTGATTAAGAGCACTGAATGGTTTAGGCCCAAAATACATTTCTGATCTTCTGCTATATTATGAACCATCCAGATCTCTCAGGTCTTCAGGGACTGGTCAGCTTTCTGTCCCCAGAGTCAGAACTAAACATGGTAAAGCAGTGTTCAGTTATTATGCTCCAAATATCTGGAACAAACTCCCAGAAACCTGCAGGTCCGCTGCAACTCTGACTACTTTTAAATCCAGACTGAAGACTTTTCTTTTTGCCGCTGCTTTTAATTGAAACTGAGCTGTCGTGTTCATCAGTAAAGTGGAACTTCTGTGTGAATTATTCATATCTTAAACTGCACTGTAACTTTTTATTCATGTACTTTTTTATTCATGTACTTTTTATTCATGTATTTTTGCTTGTAATGTTTCTTGTATTATCTTTTCTTTTTAATGACTGTTTTTAAATGCCTTTGTCTGAATGTCTTTCATTTTTGTAAAGCACCTTGAATTGCCTTGTGTTGAAAGGTGCTATATAAATAAACTTGCCTTGCCTTGGCCTTGCCTTGCCTTTTATTGAATAATTAAAAAGCATTCAGTTTTACATTATAGGCCATTTTCATCATACTTCTTTCAATATACGTTTGTTAATATTATCCAGTGACAAGTTAAATTGCTTTTTTAAGACATGCTATACTATGACATTTTTTTAATGACTTATTTATGACTTTTTTCGACTTTTTCATGACATTTTCTTTGTCATACCATGCTATCCCATTTTGTAATGATATTTCTAATCACGCACTTTACTAATTCGTTTTACAATGATAAAATGTGTCACATGTGTAATACAAATGTATATGACACTCAATTTCAAAGCTATTTTGACACGAGACTAATTTATTTTTTGTTTCTGTATTAAGTGGCCTATCATGTCTTTACGTTACTTTTATTTTATGTAAACACCTTAAAGGTTCCTCATTGTGTTCTGGTGTTTTTGCAATATTTTGCGACCAAATAAATGTAACTTTGAATTAGTCCTGAACATTGTCATCATACTCTCCGGAGCTGTAGGAGGCGGAGTGCAGACGTGAGTGGTTTACGAACCACAGAAGAAGAAAAGAAGCAGCGTAGAAGAAGACTGAGGCTGTTTTTATTATTCCATCTGTACCGTTGGCTGTGTGTTGTTAGCAGACTGCACTTTGTAATCACCGCTTTTTATAACAAATGTATTCAAAGAGTAGCTGTATGTGTTGCGTTTGAAGAATCAACTAAAACGCACCTTGATGCGTTCTTTGCAGTGTTAAAGGTAGGAAACTGGAAATGTTGGGATATTGGTGCATGCTCGGGAAACATTGACACGTATGATGGAAATGTTGAAGTAAACTGCTTATGTTTGTTCAACAAAGTTTGCATCCCTTTAACTTTAATCTGGGCTATAAGAACCAACATATTTTTATTTGCAAGATTTAGAAAACACGACTTGTTTGAATAAGAAAGTTCATTGAGTTTTAATGGTGACCTACTTCCGACTAATGCAAAAGTCTCTAAAATGTATTTTCTGTTCTTCTCGACTTTTTTTTTAGATGACGGGTAGGGGCAGGATGGTGCCCTGTGCTTGTCTGGGGCTGTTTGGTGTCCTGTGTTGGGTCTGGGTCTCCTTTGCATCCTTTCCAGATGATCAACTCCCCCTGGAGGCTTTGGATGCAGTGGACCGAGCAGCCTTTCAACCCCAGAGTGCTCTGTCAGAGATGGAGTTCTCCTCTATTTCTTCATACAGAGGACCTGGCAACAGAGACCGCCGCATCAACAAGGAGCTGCCCATTCTCCTCTGGTGGAGTGGAGGACTGTTCCCACATTTCCCTGGTGACTCTGAACGCATCGACTGTGCCACATCCTCCTGCCTGGTCACAAGCAACCGCAAGGTACCAGAGATATTTAACCTCATTAATGAGCATTTGACGGAAACTCCTGGCTTAGACATACAGATGATGCATGCTCACATTAATAAAATTTACCATCTGAAGTTGCTCTGCCAGTAATCTTGAGTTTGATCTTGAAAGGTCCAGATGTACAAGCGGACTGCATCCATCATCTTTTATGGGACAGACTTCCGGGCATATGAGGCGCCACTCCCTCGTCTCCGCCACCAGACCTGGGCACTGTTCCACGAAGAGTCCCCCATGAATAACTACTTCCTCTCCCATGGACCGGGAATCAGGCTGTTCAACTACACTGCCACGTTTCGCAGGGAGTCGGATTATCCTCTGACCCTGCAGTGGCTGCCCTCTCTGGATTACCTGCTGCAGCCTGTGGCCGTGCCCCTGGGGGAGAAGAACCGTCTGAGGAGGGGGGGGCTGGCTCCTGTGCTCTACATGCAGTCCCACTGCGACGTACCCTCGGACAGAAACAGATATGTCCAGGAGCTCATGAAGTATATCCAGGTACAGCACAGATACAGAGATGATTTTCACAAAGATAAGATAAGCCTTTGTTGATACCCTCAGGGGAAAATCAGGTGTTGAAGCAGCACAAGAGAGGTTCAGTAAAATAAAATAACAACAAAAATAGCTTAATACAACTTGTAAAGGAGTACAAAAGACTAAGGTTCAAAGTCATTTACGAGGTTAAAGTGACATGTTTTGATCAGTAGCAGCAGGTCTAGTAAATGTAACAACATAACATAACAATAAAATATATACTAGATATGTATTTGACCTTTGGTGTCTGTAATGATATAGCAACATAATATATTCTATATGATGTGGTAAGATGACAGTATAATATGTTTGCATACTATAGCATGATATAACACAGTTTAGTTTGTTTTTTGTCCTTTTTTAAGATAAAAAAAAAAACAGAATGGTAGTAAAATGTAATTTGTTGATGTTATATTTACTAATCCCCTGACATTTTGCTGTCAAAGATAACAACAACAACAATGTCAGGACACATTTCTGGTTGAGGGTAAACACCATTTCCAGTCATTTCCTCCAATTTCCACCCTAATATTCATTCTTTACAATAAATATCACTTGGATCCCATGCAATAAAATAATCTGCAGCTTGGCATCTTTCTTGCTTCCACTTGAACTTACTTGTGCGGAAAAGGTCAAGAGGTCAAATATAATTAATGCTAAAGCAGTAAACTGTAGAAACGCTTTTGTAAAGGCTTTGTAAATATAGCCCTCAGTGCAAGTTTTGAGATATCCCATCAGGGGATAAAATGTTGGAGTTTAATTAGAAACGTCTAATCAGGCTTTCATGAAAAACTTAGACCATTAAAAGTGTGACTACGTCTCATTTATAATCTAACGTTTCCTGAATGCCCCATCTCTCTCCTTTGACTCATTATTTAACCTCTCTGCAGGTGGACTCTTACGGGAAATGTCTGAACAACAAACCTCTACCTGAAAATCTCGAGGACACAGCCACAGCGACCGGGGAAGAATCCAGCTTTATGAATTTTGTTGCCCGCTACAAGTTCCACCTGGCGCTGGAGAACGGCCTGTGTCCGGACTACATGACGGAGAAGCTGTGGCGGCCCCTGCACCAGGGCTGCGTGCCCGTCTACCGGGGCTCCTCCTCTGTGGCCGACTGGATGCCCAACGACCACTCTGCCATCATCATAGATCACTTCCCCTCTCCCAAAAGTCTCGCTGAGTTCCTCAAACGTCTTGACGAGAACGATGATGAATATGCAAGATATTTAGAATTCAAGAAGCCCAGCCGCATTACTAACACTCGTTTGTTAGAGGCGCTGGAGACTCGCGAGTGGGGGGTTAATGACATGAGTAAACCCAACTACCTGAATGGATTTGAATGTTACGTGTGTGACCAGGAGAATGCACGACTGGCGGCAGAACGCACATATAGGAAAGCCCCCAACAAGAACCAACCTCCGAAGCCTAAAATGGCAAACAACTCTCACATGGGGTGCCCCCTGCCCGGCCCGGGGTACGGACATGTCACAGACTTACCTGAAGATGATGGGTGAGTTAGTGTTACATTATTCTCTGTGCCAGGTGTGAAATCCTTCTACCTTCTCTACTTTAATGTGTATAACAATGTCCCGAAGGTAGAGACATCAGTCCAATTTAACGGTCTAATTAAAATAACCTCTTTGATGAGCCTAATCTGCTTTTGTATCTGTCTGCAGATGGTTGCAAATATGGCCTCAGGATTACTGGCAGAGCCTGGACCAAGCAGAGGGGCTGGAGTCTCTGATAAGACATAACGAGTCCGACCCTTCGCTGCTGTGGAAGCACATCCAAAACATGGCTGTGAGCAGAGCCAGAGGAAAACACTGACACAGGCCTTACAGAGGATGGAGCACGTCCAGAATTGCAGAGGTGTCCTATATTATGCCTCCCCTTTGTTTAAACAAGGGAATAAACCAGAAATGACTAATGTTTTTTCACCTGAGCCAAAACCACTTTATCCTTATTAGACATTTGGTGCTACTGTAACAGATTTGGATATCGTGTTCAGCTGACATGAGTCGTTTGTCCTTAGTTTGTCCCTAGTTCAGTAATGGGAAAATAATATTTTAGAGTTCTGTTTGCCAATATTTTTAAGTTGTTTGATTGCTAGAACTGAGGTGCCATCATTGCCTGTACTCTGCCTTGCATTGTTAACATTAACTGGAGGCAGATTTTCATTGGGCTGCGGCAGAGCCAGGGGACGGTGCTCTGCTTAACTGTGTGGAGAACATTAAGGCTGTAGCCAATGAAGTGCATTAGCTTCTTTGTATTTCCTCAGCAGGTAGCTGATGGTTATGAGCTAAAGTTACATTAATGTACAAAACTATTTTAAATGACTATGCAAGTAAAAATATTCACTAAGGAGTGAAGAAAGGCACATGTAAAGGTTAACTCCCATATGGAAAATCCCCACTGGGTCAGGATCAGCTAATGCATTTCTGTGTACTCTATAATATATTGTAGTACATGTTTTCTGTTACATAATGCTAAGATAATGTTTGTGTGCAATACTTTTCTAATCATGCATTTTCTAAACATGTTACTGCTTGTGAATCCATGACAGTCCATCTGCCTGCATTCTGGCTGTGTTTGAAGTTGCATACCATTCATACCAAGTATGACGTTAAGGTAAAATTGTGCTCCAATTGCATAGTATGTGCATTTTGCATGCACTAAGCACACATTATAGAGAATGCAACATGAGCTATACAAGATTTAACTGCTTTGAAAAGTATTGCTTTCGAAAAATGAGGAGCTTATGTTTATAATGTACTGACAAAAACAAACACTAAGATACTCAGTGTTTTGTTTATTCTCCTAAAAACAATACTGGAACATATTGAATTGACTGGAACAGCGAATGTGGAATTAGAATTGTGGTAAACGATTTTCATTTCATGGAAGCCTAACCTGGTAATGTGATACAAAAGGCTTCATCCTCTGTCATTGTGAACAGTCTGCTGGTAATGGCAAACGGAGTAGTTAGTAATTAGCAGGGAGTATGCAGTGCTCTGGTATGCAATTTGGAGCACAGCCGTTCTCGCAACACATATATATACCAAGATAATACAAATCATTTTATTTTTTTAACAAAGCATCATACATGTGAATACACTATTTTGTATTAAGAAGAGCAAAAGGAGTAAACATTTTTGTAATAAAGTCATTTTCTACTGTTGCAAAATAATAATATTGTTCCCCACTTGCCAGTATTAGTCTGTTCACAGTTATATGGAGCACACCATGTTGTACAGACATATCCTTCATAGTTTACTGAGGCAGATACAGCTTTCACCACCAGAACAAAAGAAAACACAAGCTTGAATGAATTTCTTTGAGAAATTAGAAATTGTACCTAGTGTAAGAAAAAACATTCAGTAGTCATAAAGTTAAGTTCGCTATAACTGTCTTTTTGATCATCCTGAACCACATCCTTTCTGAGTTCAAACCGAACACAGTGAAAACTTTGTGAAAGACCAGTTCTCACTTTATATGCAAATGGACATGAAGGGACGGGGATAAGAGGCTGCTGAAGAGCTTCTATAATCAGTCCAAAGCTTTGCTGTAGCAGGCCTCGCAGTGGACTTTCCCTCCATGCAGGAACATGCTGTCGAGAAGGTCTCCCATATACTTATTGCACACACCGCACTGAAAAATAAGGAGAATGTTATAAGAAAATGCAATAACGAGAAAATACTGTGAAGAGCAGTGGTGTTATCCTTGTGACCGATATGTCTGCCACATATACGAAGCTACAGCTAGCAGCGGATTCGCATAGCTGAGCATAAAGACTGGAGAATGGGAAATTACTGCATCTGGAAATAGTTTTGTTCAAAGTTTTAAAAATGATATCTGCCTACTAGCATCTCTAAAACACACGTTGGATCTGATTTGTCTAATCTGTACAAAAACAGTCTAAAAGCGACAAATTGCTGTTTTACTGGGTTTTTGTGTCAGACTGTAGCTGAGATTGTTTTGTTTTTTTAACCATTAGAGATTCCAGTATTTACGCTGAGCCAAGCTATAAATGGCATATTTACCATTTCCTACAGATAATCTTGCCATTCAACAAATTAACACAATTAACCAAATATATTTTGAATGGGAACAAAGTCTACCTTCCTTAAAGTCCTTCCCTTGAAGAACTTTTTATTTTATTCAATAAATACTGAAAATGTGTCTGAGCAGACAGATGAACTACCTTGAAGCAGTGGGGGTGGCAGTTGATGTTGAGGTGATCGATGGTGATCTTGCCATCACTTCCCACCACTTCTCCACAGAAGGTGCAGGCAGATGACAGCGAGCCACTTGGGAGACACAGCAATTAAGACTAGTTAGTTTGGCCACTGAATCAAGCAGCTGCAGCTCTGGCTGGTTAAATAACCTGTGACCCTGCAAGGGAACTTAATAAGTGTAAATAATCCTTTGATGTCCCCGCTTAGCCTCCTAATGAGCAGGCTTGGTGGAATTTCTGCCCTACTGCTTACAGATATCTAGTTTCTTCAGAACTGGAAATAACAAGGCAGAGGGAGAAGGGCTTAGGCTTATAGCTGGTTTAAAACAGGTTTAGGTTAATTGTGTTTTTACCAGGGGTCAGTGGAAGGGCTTCTTTAGAGAAACTGACAGAACTTGATGTCAAAACAATCTGATCTTACCAACTAAAGAAACAAGAGCAACTACAAAAAGAAAACCCCTATGAGTGCTCGCTGCTGAGAATTGGCAGTTGTTACTGATGAAATAGCTTGAGTTAAATTCAAAGAAGAAATAACAATACAATTATTGAAAGTATACAAATTGGCAGTTGCAATGCAGATATGGAAAGTAGGTCAATTGAAAATAGAAATGCAGTTTCAGTTGAATATAATCACCAAATTTAATAACAGTCTCAATGTAAATGTGGGTCGTTAAGTTTGTATTATTTAAATGTTTATTAGTGTTATTACCTGGGGGGGCTGCTGTAAGAGTAACTGGTGGAACTTGATGTGTAATAATCTGACCCACTATGGAGAAAAAAAGCTATGAGTAAATCATCAGAACAGCATTACAATATAGGATGTCACATCATAAAATACAAATATCATCACAATATCATTAATTATTTAGGCTAGGATAATCGTAACAAACATCTCCATATTATTGCATGCTAAATGATGTAACAATTTGGTTGTTTAAATGAAGTATTGGTCCTACGTGTCGGTGTTGTCTCTGGCATTATGCATGGACATCTCTGTTGCGTTGACATACTCCTTCACGTACACAATGCCCCTGGGGAAGAGGCAGATAAAGAACAGGGTGAGTTAATATGCATAGTTAAAATATTAGCTGTCACTTTAATTTAGATGTCTAGTTTGTAAAAAACACTCACTTTTTGGCCTCGGGTTCCGGTGTTTGGACGCGAAGGTCTTCTTCCATTACGGTCTTGGAATAGGTTTCACAACTGGAGACAGAGTGCAGCAGCATTAGCCTCATCTTTTACTCACTCGCGATGGCAGTGTGATGGCTCATACAGGAGGACTATACATCTGTCAAATGTAACTCAGGAGGTAATCATTTCCTGCCATCGCTTGTTAATGGCAGGCTGTTAAACGGGCTGTGATTTGACAAAAGGACATCTCTAATACACATCATTAATCTGACATCTGGAGACTGATAATTAGAGGGAGGGAAATGAGGGCAAATTGAAAGACAATGGGAGAGCAGATCTTGTCATTTAACTTCAGTAATAGTCATGAGTTTAATCAGAATTCTGTCTAACCAGCGGGAGTTGCAGGTAACTTTAGATCTGTACTGCAATATTAAGATAGCATACAGCTGCGTTCCCACGGGGTTTGGCCTAAATCTCTCACCCTCTAACAAAGACATCTGTTTCACAAACACAGAGAAAGAAGCCGATCTGGTATTTGAAACTAGATGATGTAACAGAAGATGATTTGATTTTAAAAACGTTTCCTTAAATGCCACACTTATTCTATAAGAATATTTCGGTGCAGTAACACACCAGTGCTTAAGCCGGAAAGCTCCAGATGAAGTAGAGTTTCTTAGCAAATGTGAGAAAACCAACAGACCAAATAGTAGAAAATAACATTCTGTAGAAAGTACTTTTGCATTATGCTGCGTCTGACATTAAGATCATAAACTTACCGATCCATAACGGTCTCCTGTTCGCTGTGTGTCTCCCTGGAAAGTAAAGAAAACTATATTAGACTTTGAGTGTAGGCTGTAGCAGTCAATAAGATGGACTCTATCCAGTGAAGAATTATGTTTCTTTTGAAGTGAATGAGGCTGATCTTTCGGACTCACTGCTCCAGATGGCTGTGGATTTATTGACAAGGTGTGGTTTCTTTTCTATTGTGCTGCAGCACTGCCTCATTCTGAGCCCTCCTCCCCATGCATTGTAACTGTGATCATCACCTACATTAAGCTTTTCTCCATAGTTTTTTTATCATAAGAGGTAACGTTTCAAACCTGATAGTGGTGATGGTGGTTGTGACCGTCTCTGTCTGTGTATGGCTGCAAAACAAGAGGACATTTCCTGCATTATAAAAAAAAGTCTGGCAGAACAGCAGAAAAAATGACGGTGATAAAGTCAAATAACAGGTCGAGAAGGAGTTGATTATTCTCAGACTAAGCCGCTGTGGAAGTTTCTACTTCTGTTTAGCTTGCTTTCAATTAAATGGTTGACAGGCCCTGCATTTTAAGATGCTATAATGACATCCTGCGGAAATTGTGAAAGTAAAGTGCTTTAATATGCATTTAATGAGCCCAGCCAACCTATACCTCTCATCCCCCTCCTCCTCCTCCTCCTCCTCCTCCTCCTCTTCATCATCATCCCTTTCTGTAGTGGTAGTATAGATAGTGGGTGAGGTCCACCTGTCCCAAGGGGAGTCATTCTCTTTGGACCTGGAGCACAAACAAAGGCATTGTAGCATGAGAAGATGACACATTCACACTCTTTATATTGTTAAAAAACAACAGCAACACAAAAGGCTAGGAGGGATCTGTTTACAGCAGTTGTGAGGCGGGATGAAACAAATATATATCTGACCTATTTTCATCAGCACCAGTGCACAATGTTTTCCGGCTCAATGCGTAGATGCTGCAAGAGCCTACTTACTTCACCGTTGTGAAAGGGAAAGAGGTTACGGGGATAAAAGGAGCAGACACGGGGCTTTTAATAAAAAGGATGACTTACTTTCTCTCAAACTTGACCAGCGTCTCTTGATCTACGGTTTGGCCTCCTGGCACAGCTTCTTGGCTGAGAGGGGACATACATTGAAAGGCTTTTAGCGCGTAATGGACATGGATGGGAGCATGTAGATGAATGAAACATAGTGGACCCCATTGTGTGGAAGTGTAAGAGTAAATCAAAGTGTGTCATCACCTCTCTTCCGTGTTAGCCTGCTGAGGTGTGTTGGTTTCCCATGTGCGTGCCCATGACCGATGAGAGCTCAGACTGCAGAGAGAGAGAATCGATGTAGACGTTTTGACAGGTGAAGCATATTATACGGTAATGTGTGCTCTTCGAGAGAATAATTTCTGCATGTCCACAGCCTTTCTTTCCCCTGAATGTCTCACTCATACATTCATAACACAATTATGCACTAAACTCTGTTTAATACCTTGTGCTGTCAGTGCTGATAGGGATGACGTTTTCTGCAAGGGATTCCAACGCATTACTGTCAAACACACGCACACACAAAAAGGGGGAGAAAACATTAAAAGAAAACATTAACATTTCATGAAGGGAGCCCAGAATTGTTTTGTATTAATGTATATATTTTTTAAATCACACAATTATATAATACAGAGTGACACAGAAAACATTAGGATAAAAATAAATCTGAATTTCAGAAAAATGGGGTGCCCTGGGGGATTAAAGCACTGACTATGAACCGCAATGTCCCCGGAGCCCAGCTGGGGAGCCCCCTTCCCCCCATGTTGCAAAATGACAGAATGCCAGGGGCCATAAATCAAATATATAATAATAATTCATACTGGTACTTTTATTTAAATGTGAATAAACAACCTGTATTTGTCTGTCTTATGTTTTTTTAATGCACACTGGCAACATATTTAAATTAAAGTGCAAAGTAAACACAGAAATAAATTCCCACTGAAATACAGTTTTCTTTATTTGAGTATAGCTGCTATACTGTCAGCTCTCTAATGAAGGGTTACATACCAAAAAATCTTTCAATAAGAAACTACGGGTGCACATGATTGTAACAAAAATAAGTTATTTGAAAAAAGTCACTTGGTTTGTTTTGGATGAGTGCAACTTACTTGGTTTTTGGACTTTGATCATTGTTCTCTATTGGACTGTGAAGCACACTGAAGGAATACAAACAATAGTGTATCAATAAGGTGCAGCCTCAGTACGTATGTGTCCGATATTATTTTTTAACATAGTGCATGCACTTTAACACAGACATCTTAAAGCACATGGTGGTAAATAAACTACCTTGAATTGGTGACTGTGGTCGATGAGCTCCATGGATCTGCGTTTTCCTCTTGGCTGCATGGAGGCAACAATGAATTGTAAGAAGGGTGGTGGTAAGGAAGATTGGCATCATGGGTAGGTAAGTGTGTTCATTTATCAAACAAAAATACCAAACAATTATTCTGTCTTTTTAAATAATAGTAATTTGAATACATAAGTTGAATACTACTTTCTGACTTGATGAATCATAATTGTATAAACAAGTTGATAATGAACATAACTATTAGGTGTATCCCCACTTGACCTAAGAGTGAGCTTGATCATAGAGAACATTCTGGATTAGTTTAACTTACCTAGTCTCTGGACTTGGATCTTTGTTTTCCATTGAGGTGAAAGACACACTGAAGGAAGAAAATGAGAAATAATACGACATCAGTGTATGAATAATCTGGAGTCACTATCTGATACGCTAGCTTCTGATGATGAATCATTTTTGCAATAACCGATAAAGTGAAGCCGTTGTAGTTGCAATGATAATATGTGGTAACGTGATAGTTTCAGTGCTATAAACAGCGGTTTCAATATATTTGCATTATCATTCCAGTACCTGTTGATGGAAAAATCAGAGAGAGGCTGGAGCAGGTCAGATGAGCTGCAATAGAGAAAAGTGGCTCATAATCAGAATCTGCTGCATTATGCATGTCGAGATGCTATCAGGCTGGCTGGAAAACAGTCACAGCTCCAAACCAATATGATTACCTGTTAGAGAATGTGGTCCCTATCGGATATGGATCAAACGGATCAGCCGAGCTGAAAAACAATTTCACACTGATTTCACTCTCAATTGTAAGCATGGCCCATCTTGTGTCGGAGGAATTCTGATCACATTGACTCATAATGGAAAGATTTAATGCAGTTTGAATGGTAAACAGAAACACAGAGGAGCCCAGGGCCAAACTCAATCAAAGTCAGAATCGGGATGTCTTTGACAAATGTAACAAAGATTCTGTAGTTGAATGGCGTAATCAGAGTATGTCAGGGTTTTTTCACCTAATATTAACCCTGATTATATTCTCTGTAAATAACCTCAAACTAAAAAGATTATGAATCTGCTTTTAGAAGAATCAATTATTTGTATCAACTCATGTGCCTTATTAACCAGGGAAAGAATCGATTCTACAAATAAATGCACTCTTTAAATCAACATTTGTTTTAATTGTCAAAGGAATAGAAATGTTTAAACACATATTGTTGCATTCAATCAATACACTACCTTGATTCGGTGACTGTGGTGGTAGAATGTGAGCTCCATGGATTAGCACTGTCCTCTTGGCTGCATGGAGGCGAGACAGAGTAAGGAGGATGGTACGGATGAATGGCATGATGGGAAGGGAAAGGAGGGCAAGCAAAGGTAAGTTTGGTTCTTCGCATACACTATTTACATTGCCAGTCCATTAGAAAAGCCTGAAACCCACTGAACTATTTAACAAGCATGAAAAGCATCTGAATATAGCAGAGAACAGACGTGCTTTTTCTTTGTGCGTCTTCTTACCTTTTGTCGGAGATGATCACAGTTTTGGTGGTTACAGTGACAGTCTCTGTGGTGCTGCTGGGCAGAGACACAACATAGATGCAGGCAGAGTTAGTTTAATCATTACGAGACATATCAGGAAATAATGCATCTCATAGCAGGAGCAGCTCTGAAAAGATAGATAATTGTTTAAGAGCAGACTGTCATCTCCCTCTACCTTTGTGTTACTTTTGGTGTCTCGTCTGTCTGTTTCTCCTCCTCTCGCTGCATGCTTAGGCTGGCGGAGACAAAAACAAAGCCGCAATACTAATCAGTACAGAACATTCTCTTCTATTTCCAGTCGCACAACACAGATAAGACGTGTCTTTCTCTTTCAAAGTATTCCTCAGTCGCTTCAGGAATCTGCTACTTTGTTTTCTATCTTACAGAGCAGGGGGTTAATATAGAACGCTGGATGTGGAGGAGCCATGATTTATGAATCAAACTTCAGGCCGGTGGGGTTTATTAAAAAAAGTTACACCTCATGGAGCTGGGATGCTTGGCCCCTTCATCTGCAGTGATAAGAATGAATGGTTTGCAATGAGGGAGGGATGCAGAGCAGAGGCCATCACAAGTCTGTCTCTTTCTCACCTGCGTTCGACTGTGTTGATTGGAATGACATCATCAGCCAGCAGATCAAGGGAGCCACTGGTCTTCTCTGGGTTCGACTCACTGAAGAAATGAAACGCAAAAGTCAGATACAGACAGAGGTGGAAAGTACATTTAATCAAGTACTGTGATAAAGTACATATTTGACGTACAGTCCCCTTATGCTTCTTTATACTTCTTTTGCTCCATCTCATTTTGCACCCAAACGTTGTGCTTTTTGCTCTTTGAGATTTTTGACAGCTAATGACAAGCTGATTTGCATTACCAAATGTAAATCAGCTAATAATGTATGATACATCATTATAGATTAAGCTACCCAGAACTTAGCATATAAAGTAATTAAAACAAACCCCAATGTTACCAACATAAAGTAATGAACCCATTAATGCATGAATAATTGTAATCCAATAATTTAATATATGTGATTCTAAAACTGCCAATATTGCATAATGAATATTTTTACTTTTGTCACATTAAGTTTATTTTGATGAAAATACTTTTGTACTTTACTTCAGTAACATTTTTTTGTTTTACAGAGTATGCTACTGTTACTTGAGCGCACAAGCCCCCTGGAAACTGTACTCTATGTACTAGGTAAGTTAAGGTAATGCCACTTGCTGCTACAAACAAGAGAGCTGTTGGTTTTCTGCTAATGAAAGGATATTTTTGTTGTATAACTTGTTTATTTGGGGCTTGGCAGGAAAAGGAGCTCTCTTTCCACACCTGTCTAGTCCGCTCAGCAGATCCTGACTCCAGCGTCCTGGGCTGGGGGGAACCGGCTCTGCTGACTCCTCTGGACTGTGGAGGAGGAAGGATGAGAGGAAGAGGAAGTGGAGAAGGTGATGAACAAAGGGGGATTTATGATTCAGAGGAGATTTCAGAGCAAGAAGAGGCCAGTTAAGGTAGAGGAGAAGGAGGGGGAGGAGATTATTAAAAGTCCAACAGTGCCACCTTGTGGGAAATATTCAGAGAATTTCTAATGCAAGGAAGTGCACAACATTAAGAATCCAATTTTTTAACAAACCCATTAGTGAGAACCAGGAGATCGTCTGTCATGTGTATACAGTTGCTGAGCTCTGGAGCTGGCTCCTTATCATCACTGCAGACAAGAAGAGAAAACTAATATGAGAGACACGCTTGCACACAATCCCTAATTAGATTTATTAAGCACCACATTAAACAGGTCTAATTTGAGATACCCTCTTGTGTGAGGTAGTTTTAGGCACCTAAAACGGGTACGTGATTTGTTTTGTATTTACTTTGAGTGAACACAGTGGCAGTTAGCCATTATTCTTTTTTTTGCCAACCCTGCTATGACATGAATGAGGAAGTTTTTGTTTTTTTTACCCGTCCTCTGCGGTGGGACTGTCCCCTGGGCCTTGTTCCTTCTCTGCCAGCACTCGCTCATCATCCTTAGAGCTGGAGAGAAAACAAACTCTTATTATCAGATGGTTGTTGAGGCTGCCTGTACTAACATGACAATATTTATTTTTTTATCATTGGTTTCTGCTGATTTCATCTTTTTCTATGATCCATTACCTGGTTGAACTTGTGTCGAAAGAAATGAGAGTGTCGTACAAGGCTGTGAGCTTGTCAACACTGGAGCTGTGAGAATAGATGGAAAACAAACACAGGACATTCCTTTAGCATTCAATCACACACGGGAAAAAGAATGAGAACAAACATTCACAAAGAAAATCACATGACGGCTTTGCTTAAGAATTATGATATTCATTCATTCTATTATAGAAAATATCTGGGCAAACATAATGATGTTTGAGGCTCTTACTGATGTTAAAGCTATGCAGGAATGAAGATCCTGCACTGAAGTAAAAATAGCAAAGTATGACTAGAGTAGAAATACTGTATTACAAGAAAATGTCCCTTTTTCCGAACTTTACATAAGAAAAATACAGCAAGTGTGAGACATTGTTTTTATTTTAAGGATAAAAAATGCTAAAATATTAAGAGCTTAATGCACAAAAAAATATTTATGGTTATTCATACTGTTTTAGGTGGCCAAAAGGAGTCATTTTTATTTATAACGTGGAAAATAATTTATATTTAGGTCAACATTTAGTTGATATTTTGAAATAAAAGTAGTAAAAGCTGTGAAAATATCTATAGTGGAGAAAAAAGAACCCAATTTTGAAATGTAGCAGAGTTTGAATAAGCATGTGATAGTTACGACAGTACAAGTATACCTGCTGAGTTAAGATACTTATTTACTTCTCACTACTGATAATATTTTACACTACGTGGCAGCACTGGTTTTGGCAAGTTGGAGTGTTACCGTGGCTTTAGAGCTGGTGGTGTTCGATGTCTAGGTTCAGGTTCTGGTTCAGTCTTCACTTTGATCTCTGTTGCAGCAGACACTGGGACAGTATAAGCCGGGGAAGGGGGGGCTGAAGCAGGTGATATTTGGATTGGTGAGGCTGGGGTGAGTTTAACCAGAGGGATGTTTACTTTTCCAGAAACATCTGTCTTCTCAGGTTCTGGCTCTGCACAGACAGTTTGAACTAAATGTGGGAGGAGAATAGGGAGAGGAGTGTCCACCTTGGTACACCCTGGCTTCATGCCTTCAAATGGGCCTTTAACTATAACCAGAGGAGGGTCATCCTTCACAGGCTCTGGGGCGGCATCCTCCACCTTTGGTGCCACGGGCTCATTAACAGCAACATCAACAGCTGTTTTCACACTGGTGCCGCGTCTGTAAACCACACAAGTAATGGAATCAATTGAAGGAACAGAAAAAGCACTTGTTGCACTGGAAATAGAAACACAGACTTACAATTTCCATGGTTTGATCTCAGGCGCTGGGGCAACAGATGTGGCAGGAGCAACCGGGGAGGGGGCCGGAGTGCTGGCAGGTGCTGGAGACACCGCGCTCTCATCATCATCAGTAAGCTGTACCCTGCAGAGTTGGGAGCATGTGAGCACACTCATGAATGCATGTGGGGGGGGGTGTGTGCACACATAGAAACAGACAAACAGACTCACACACTAGACGAACAGGTTTGTTTTTTTATTTACCTATTAAAAGACACAAGAAATAGAGTCGCACACTAGATAGTGCTCTCATCTCTCATGAACATAACAGCGGCTACACTGGTAATGTCTCTGTGTGTGTGTGTGTGTGTGTGTGTGTGTGTGTGTGTGTGTGTGTGTGTGTGTGTGTGTGTGTGTGTGTGTGTGTGTGTGTGTGTGTGTGTGTGTGTGTGTGTGTGTGTGTGTGTGTGTGTGTGTGTGTGTGTGTGTGTGTGTGTGTGTGTGTGTCAATAAAGACATGTGGTCCAACCAAAGAAGCAGATTTCACTACTTTGCAAGGTTTGTATCTTCTGCTTGTCTGTGGACACATGTTGCTAATATAAAACAATTGTGAAGTCAAATCAAAACAAAGGAATTCAAAAATAGGTGTGGTCCAAGCAAGGGGGGTCGGAGAAGGGGGAATGGGAAGTTTATGCCCCTGGAGATTTTGCACTGCGGCTTGTGTAATCCCAGCAAGATGGTCTCTAATGAATAAATTACCAGAAGTGTTAATTCATCTAATTTATGTTCATGGGTGCATTACCTAGTATGCAGACTCTATTCTTTCCATCTTCTACATTTCCTTATTAATCATCTGGACGTGCATGCTTTTGAAGCCTTTACCTTCTAGCCACAAATGATGGACTGCTGTTGACCAATGAGATGTCAGGCGCCGTATCTGAAGACCTGAGGTTTTTCAACACACAGTTTCGATAAAAACCTCCGTAAATGCTCAACATGTATAATCAATGCAGGTGAAAGGCACAATGTATAAGCTTTTAAAACTTCCTTTGAAATGTAGGAGTTCCAGAAACAGGTTGAGTTTTAAGATTAGTAGGAGAGTGTCATAAACCATACATACTCAAATTTCTTAGCAGCAGAAAGCACATAAGAGCGTTGCCTGGCTGCAGATTGCCTCACTACGCTGCTGGCTGCCTCCGTCCTGCGAAATGAGTCATTATGATGTTAATGTAATCTCTCTTCCGGGACATGCTGGTTCAAATTGGATGGTGTTCTTTTTGCGTGAAGAGAGTCTTACCGTTTCTCCTGCTCCTCAGTGCTAAGTTGGTCCTCCTGGCTTTCTAGAGTGGGCCTCACGGTGTAGGGGGCTCTGAGGAACAGAAACACACCTCATAAAAATACATTCTCACTCAGCTGCCAACGGTGAACTGGGAATCTGATTTATGTGCGCTCACATTTTCTTGTAGCTCTCTGAAGGTTTTTTGGTGAATTGTGTTGTTGTTGTTCCACTGTTAGAAAAAACACATGTATATATTATCGTGGGACTGTAGTCACAAGATTAACTTTGCTTGTTCAAATGAGAGAAATTCTTACCTAACACCGTTTGTTGTTGAGGATGAAGGAGTCTTGTCTAGTTTAGTGAAAATGCCTCTGAAAGACAAGCAGAAATGTGAGTTAATAAAAGAAAATGATATTCATATACATTTGACACATCTCCTTTGAATGTAGGTATCCTAGTTTAAAACAGGTTGTCTGAATGTGCAAGTGCTTATCTTACCTCATCAGGTATCCTGAAGATGGTGCTCTAAATTCAAAACAGAGAGTCATTATCAGCACAATCATGTGTATGGGAGTGCTCTGAAGATAACATTAGAAACCTGTGTTTACCTTTCAGCATCAGGCTTTGTGGGTGGTGGCGTGGGTGTTGTTGGTGACGACACTGGACTGGTCTCAACCGGTGCTCCGTTTTCACGGCTGGCCCTTACTTCAGCTAACCTGTATTTGGTAAACAGGAACTTGGTTTTGGTCTATTCCAGTGACTGATAAATGGATCATTTGACAGAAACCTTCTTCAACAAGTGTCTCACCATGGTTTTGCCTTGTCATCTTCAGCCTGAGCCTCATTGCGGCGCTGCATCCAGCTGCCATCTCCCTTCAGCTTGGTGCGGACTTTGGTGGTTTGAAACACAGATTCTTTGTCCACTTGGGGGACACAAATAGACTATGTCAATTACCTTCACACAATCTAACATGTAAAACACACTGTGGTCTGCATCATAATGACATTTTAATTAATGTATACTTGATAGTGTGCCTGATATTAATTCACGCGCCATCACACACCACATAATCAACACCTTGTATTTTGCATTATTCAAGGAAATGTCAGAAGATCAGAATTTACAGAGTCATCCACCTGGCACAGAGATACGCCCTCGGATGCATTGTTTTGATTGGAGGAAACTCATCATCTTGCATTCAGGTCACATCAGTCAGCAAACTCACCTTTTGACATGCTTGTTCTAGAGGTTTCTCTTTTTGTCTTTGTTCTGTTATCTTCACAGGATACCTACAAAATATATTGGGGCAGAGATCATGATAAAAGAAGTTGCAGGAAATGTAAATGTTTATGACAGCCTAGTTTCAAAAAGTTGTTCCCACGCGATGTTCCCTACCAGAGCAATAACTCAGTAAAGCATTCCTGAGTCTCATCCTTTAGACATGTTGGTGATCCTGTCCTACCACTTTGCAAAGAAAATACTCATGTTGCCTGAATATGAATGGGCTCACACACAAATATAAATTAGGATCCTTTGTGTTTGGATTTAAAATATAACTCGCACTGAATGATTTGTGATTGGATAAATATTCTTCTCAATCATATCCAAATGAGTTCACCTCTCAGTTATTTACAGACAAACGTGAACGGCTCAGAGGGAAAACTACTTCCTATTGAAGCTAAAGACAAAGAGATAAACTACTAAGGGTACATTATCTTAAAATAGGTGCGGGTAGGAGCTTATGCAAAATTGAAGAGCCAAATTCAAAATGCAAATACAACCTGTTAAACTGATGGGGCTGTGAATGCACTCCTTCTAAAGCACGTCATCACAATATCTCTGGAGCATAATGTCTTCATAATTTGTGACTCAGTAGGCATATTTATTTAGCTTTAGCACGTCTGTCCACGCGGCATAAACGATTGATGTTGAACAAAAGCACTTAAGAAAATGAAGGAGCAGGATAGACAAGAAATCATGACATGGAAACACCCAGAAAAATGGCAGGGCAAACACAGTCAATCACCAGGTAACACTGAATAGTTTATGAAGCATGATTGATTCCTTTTAGATATCTATGTTCTTACATCTGCTGATCTGAAGCTCCTAAAACAGAATATACTTTAAATCATGTTGCAAATAAAACACCTAAAAGCCTGGGTACCTACCTTTTTTTAAGTTTATATCCAGCAGAGAAACGTCCACTCAGCTCGAGTCGAGTGTGTGTGACCAGTGTGTCCCTCCGAGTGTGAGCAGTCTCTCTCTGTCTGACAGGTGTCTCACAAACAGGTACGGGCGTGAGCATTAACAAGACCAGCCAGTCAAGGAAGGTAACTGTGGGGTGGAGACCTACCTGTGTGTTTGTGTATCCATGTGGGTGTGTGCAATAGAGGTTGCTAAGAACTCAATATTCTGAAATCTGCGATTACTTCATTGGAGACAGCAAGCACATACCTGTCGCACAGGTGGCAGACAATCATTTCTGCGAGGGAACACGTCAAAGGAAAGAAGGCGACAAGGTGCACATGGAAGACGAAAGGGAAAAGACTCAAGGCTAGATCTTCTGTGGGAACACTCCACTCATGCTCAGGGGATAGGAAAATCCAGGGAGCACAAACATCATTAAAATGAGATGACGAGCACACAAGTGAACCGAGATAATGAACAAACAGTGGCCCACACAACAATAAAGATATATAATTATAATTTAAAAAAATAGACTACAAGCCAAAGCCAATCTAATTTGTAATGTTTTGAATTAAACGTGTATATTTGAAATCAAAAAGTGAGTATTGTCATTAGTTTCTGTACTTATATATTTTTTTAAACCACAATCATGAAGATATACACCTTAATCAGAGTGTAGTAAAAGGCAAATGGAGCTTAGGTTAACATTATCTATGAGCCTACATATTGTTGGCAGATGAAAGCCTATGACAAGCAAGATGTATGTCTATATTTGTCTAAGTGAAAGGTAAGAAAAGTCCTGCAATTTTCCAACAATTTCTTTGACAAATTGAAACAAAAAGTACTTTTCATGTGACTACAATGCACCCTGTGAAAACACTACATGAGATCAGTCGACCAGGTTTCAGTACAAACAGCTATCTCACGCATACTGTGTATACATTTACAAAGTCTTTTCAAATCAGAGGAGGGTGTGAAAGATTTCGCAACATATCAGAGAACGGGAGGAGGAGGAAATTAGCAAGTCTGAGAGGCGAAGTTTCACTCTGCTGAGCACACTGCCGAGTGTAAACGCTTCATTCTATTATCTAACTGGATCCCTCTCCACTGAACGAGAAACCAGTCTGACGGCCTTGCCCGGTGACGCTGACTGCAGCAGTGAATCATTAAGGTGCTGCTGGCTCGGAATGAAAGAAGAATGCAAAGTATCTCAACTTAAACCCTAACCTTTCTGAAACCACACCAAGGCACGGAATGACAGAAATGCTTTTGCTCTCATTAACATGACAGAATGCTCTCATTAACATGACAGAATGACAGATGTAGTATGGAAATGGGAGAATTGAAACTAGCTTACAATGCATTTTCATTGCCTAACCCATTATTGTATTCAATGACAGTTGTTGAATAGTATTTTATGAATCCCCGTAACTCGAAGAAACACATGCCATCCTGATGATTTACAGTGTCTAATAGCACAGATGATACATCGTTAAAGAAATGGTACAGTGTTATATATGGAAATAGCGAGTATGGTCAAAAGTATGTGGACACCAACTATTATTCCAATACATAACAGTTATTGCTCATTCCTCCAGTCCATAATATCCATGAAGAGATCCATTTCTAATGCAATTCCAGAGTAAGAGAGAGTGTTTGTTCTGTGTAAAAATACTTAAGTTCAGCCAGTATGAGACCTCAGCAGCATGATGTTTTTATTTCCACTTCCAAAGTGTCAGTGTTTCGGGGCAGTGTTACCATGCTAAGCTATGATTGAAGCCCAGCTACACAAAGATAGAATATTGCACACATTTAGTTACCAATTTAAGATACCAATTGATTTATTAAATTTTTTCTATGTCAGCACTTTCAAATGCATTTTGAACTATCCCCCATGAATGGTTTCGGGATAACATTAGGAAACAATCTTTACCGAGCCAGTATGGGAAGGAGAAACAATTGCCGTCACCAATAACTCTTTAAATGTGCATATGGGTATTTATTGTTTTAGACTTATAAACTCTATACGGGGACTCCTAGGGGTACTGGAGGGGATTGCAGGTGGTATGTAGAAAGATTAGGGATTGCAATTTATTTTAAAATCTATTTCCATAAGTCTGGTGTCCTGCCCCCAGAACTATCAAAGCTTATGAAAGACAAGCAAGCTCAAGTGTGTCATTAAAAGCTCTAGTCTTAACAACAGACGTTGAAACTGCTAGAAGTGAGTATTTTTTTCACTGACATAAGTGTAAATGTCAAGTTTGAATTGCATTTCTATTAAGGATGAGTTGTAAAAAGGATTTTTATCTAAGGAGCAGTTGGGTTTAGTCTGATTACAGAGGGTTTAACATAAGAAAACATTTAGGCGAATCATAACAGATGTGAGGGGGTACTTATAGAATGACGACCAGGTCAAGGATTTTACGAGAAAAAACAATTTGGGAACCTCTGCTCTAAACTGTGGTTAGTAATATGAAGCTATGTAATACAGCCTCCATTCTTCTTTGAAGCATGTGGCATTGTGCATTTGGTGTTTCTTTGTAGAAACAAGAGAGGGTTAACGTGTTGCTACAAGCTACAGGCTTGTTACTGTAAAGCATCTCTGCATGCTGCTAATTAAAAGAAGAGGAAATGGAGGCTGTCAATTATTTTCAGACAAGTAGTATCAGGAGAACCATTTTTTAACGGCTCAAGACATTTGACATTAAAGGTGGGGTAGGTGAGTTTGAGAAACCGGCTCGAGATACACTTTGTTATATTCCATGGAATGCTCTTAACATCCTGATAGCAATGAATATCTTAAGTGCTTTGACGTTGAAACTGTCAAGATGAGTATATTTTGCCCCTGATCATTTAACATTTTAGATTTATCATCTGCAGCTCAGGTGTGAGAATATCTTGGGTTTAAGAACCGAGAGAGGGTTGACGTTGTTGTTACTCACAAATATGTTATGTTGCACCTTTTGTTTCTACACATCCTTACTTTTGAGAAACCCAGAATGGCAATATATTGCGTGTAATTTTTTAGAAGCCTGATTATTTTATTTACATTGGATATTTTAGTGCATTTTCTTCACGGTCCAATTCCAATGTCGGACAATTATTAAGATTTGAAAGTGAATTCCTCTTGAAAGGGTTTACTTGCATTATTATCATTATTTTATTATATTATTGTTACATTTCTGGCATAAAAATGTCTTCACATAACATTAACATCGATAATCGCAATGCTTATGCCAAAATATGAATGGTAATGTCTTCACAGTGAAAGATCAGTAGATTGATGTTGTCATATACAGGGGTTTTACTGTTTACTCAGTGCTTACAAACATTGCTAGACTGCAGTGTGTTGACCAAACATAGAACTGTTTGCTACCATCTGCTGGTGAAAAGTACATAGATTTCCTAAAGGCACACATAGTGAGGTTTCTTCTCTTATTCTAAATTGTCCAGTCAGGGTTACGTGATCACTGTGTTGTCAGCGAGTGTAACTGTACAGCCTTACATGTCTCAACAGTCTTCATTCTTCCATCAAGCCCCCTGTCTGAGGTGAGGGTAGCTCTGCACGGTGCGGGCTATCCCGTCCTTCAGACTGACCACCGGTTTGTAGCCCAGGTCCTGCTTGGCGCGCTCACAGTTGTAGTAGTGGTGGGTTCCAGCCAGAGCCACTCTCATGGGGGTGAAGGTGGGTTTAAAGGAGACCAGAGGGCGCAGGATGAGAGCCAGCAGCCAGAGGAGCAGGGCCAGGCCGTACACTAGAGCGTAGGGGAGGTGGTAGCGGGGGGCAGCGTACCCCAAACCCACCAACACATCAGACATGAAGTCCCAGAATTTAACGGGCTCGTCATTGGTGATGTGGTATGGCTGAAAGGGAAGCAGGGGATACAAGATGTTTTTAGCTTGACATTCAGTTTCAGTATTTTTTTTTATGTTTATCCGGTCATTGTGACTTTAGAAAAAGTTGATATGACGATAGGATAATGATAATAACAAGAATGATAATAATAATAATTATAAATACTATAACAATTATAATGACTGTTATCATAATTATCTTAGTACATTTGTTTTACTTGTTGTAATGTATATGTATAATATGTATAATGCATATGTTATGTTCACCCTGGAAATGCGTGTATGTGTATGTATGTATATGTGTATATATATATATATAGAATTTTGTTTATCGGTGTGAGTATTTAATTACGGAATTGTCTTTTATTTACTTTATCCTGCAACAGGAAGCTATGCTTTCTGCCCTCCCGCTTCTACTAGTTTTTTTATTTAGATGTATAAACTGTCTAAATTGTTGAAATAGTAGAATAAATGAAAAATAAAAAGCATATACACATTTCTATCCTGAAAAGGGAGTTGTGGGACTACCGACATAATATCTCTAGTAGATTAAATTAAATTGGCTCTGTGTTGGATTCTATTCTCACTCACTTTTCCACATATAGGAGAGTCCGGCCTCAGGCGCTCAGCAGCCAGAATGTGGCCATGAACTACGTTTTCCACAAAGGTGAAATCCACCAGATTTGTCCCATCCCTGCATAAAACAAAGAAGGAAAATGAATACAGAAGTATAATTAGCAATAATGGTAAAAAATAATAATGTAGGAGTTCAAACATTTAATCATTCAGCACACGGGTACTGCGGTCTAAGCTTCTGAGCCACTTTCATAACACTAATTTCACATTTCACAGTGATATTTGTCTGCATTTAAAGTGATGTGTCAAGTGTTTTTTGTTCAAAGGTATTAATTTACTAGGTTAAAAATACAGAAATATTGAAGTGGTTAAGAGGGGTATGTGCTGTATGTTTCCCCGTCGGTAACATGTACCCTTTGTTGGGTTTGACTCAACCTTAACTATAACAATTGGGAGGCCTGACCTGACTGGCACCTCAGCAACTTTATTCGAACCGCTACAGAGTTGATGTAAAAGTATATATAAGAGAAAATATATTTTCAGAATCCTATTTTTGTGAGAACATAATGATTGAACAGGTGTATCACCAAAATGTTTGCAGAACTAGCCACAGCCTTGGGAAACACGTGCTTGTTGTACTAGTTATGCCTTCGGGTGGTTGACGCATTAGTAGTTACCTACACTTCAT